CCACTTCGATCTTTCTCGACATAAAAAGAAAGATTCTAGTTCTATGGTGTCCAAATCTCTCTTTAGGGAGCTACGGTCTAATTTGGGTGATTATTCTTCTATTTATACGTATGGTTGTAAAGATGGTGATCGGTGGCCTCGGCTACCGTAACGCCATCTAAGACCATATCGTGCTGTTTTCCACCTGCAGCTTGTATTTTTACAGCTGAGCTACAGACTATTCTTAAGCCCTGGAGCTCATTTAATTTAATGCGCGCCATCTTTACTGATTATGTGTCCTCTCTTCAAGCAGTACATAATAAACAGCTTGATCAACCACCGTCTGCTACTATCAGCAAGGACACTGTCCATGTATAATGTATTGGACGGTATATTCTTTAAAAAAAACAACAAGTTGTAATTTGGCAATTAGAATTGGACGCAGAGTTAATTAACTACATGCCCTGGTGCATGTAGAAACATTAAATTCCGTTTCATTTCATTACGCATGATGTAATATTTGATTTATTTTATAACATATGGATATTCATTCCACGTTACAAAACTATAAGAAATAATGTGTTTTCATCTCTAAAATTAAAGGTTAAGTAATTTCAAATACTTGCAGGAATGTTCTGCCAGAATTGACTGAGCATTAGTGTCCATGGCAACATAATAAACACATTTTGTAGCGTCATTTATTATTTACCGAAAATGATTTTAACTGTCTTTTAATATCTAATCTATGAAACAATTGTCAATTGATGAAGATTTTGACTACATGCATTGGCGGACGCAGGTTATTGTGTCGGAGGGCAGGGGTGGTTCTTTTCTCAAACCGATGAGGGGGCTATGGGGGGTTCTCCTCTGAGAAAAGTTTGAAAAATCGGGGTATATAATATTAATTATAGTTACAGAAAAAAACAAATTTATATAATGAGGCAACTTATTTTGTTTGCAAAACAAACCTAATCTTCGATAAGTCCTCCTAAACTACAAAGACATATATACATGTAATATCAGGATAAATTCAAAATCATTTATAGCATTTTAAAGTGAGAAGTTTGGGTTAGTAAGTCACTCCTAAACTACAAAACACACAAAATAAGAAAGAATGCAGTTGCAAGTTAAATATATACTATTCAAAAAAAGTAGGGGATATTTGATTTTTAAGTGTTATTAAAGTCACCAAATGAAACTGACGAAGAAACAAATGACAAAATGAAATGAAGTTCACATTCATCGATTTATTCCAAATGATCGTTAGACTAAGTAAGGCACAGACTGACCATTATAAGGGTAAAATGATACCCGGGGTCAAACAGCAAAGTTACCACAGCATCACAACCAAGTCAGTAACGGGTAAATCCTCCTCTGTTTGCCAAACAAGCATTGATCCGACGTGGCATACTCCTAATGAGACGTCTAAGGTCATTTTGGTCCAGATTGTCCCATTCCTGTTGCAACGCAGCAGCAAGTTCTTGGACATTGGCAGGACGTTGTTGACGTTGACGTAACCTCTGTCCAAGCATGTCCCAGACATGCTCGATGGGGGAGAGGTCGGGACTCAGTGCTGGCCAAGGTAATGTGGTGATGTTCTGTTGTTGGAGGTAACCTGTAACGATCCTGGCCCTGTGACATCTTGCGTTGTCATCCTGGAAGATGAAACGGCGGCCATGACGTCGTGCGAACGGCACAACATGGACTGCCAAGATGTTGTTCCGGTAGTACTGGCCTGTAACACGCCCTGCAACAACATGTAAAGCCGTTGTTCCAGCAACAGTGATGCCTCCCCACACCATAACAGAACCACCCCCAAATCGATCATGTCTGATGACGTTAACGTCTTGGAAGCGCTCGTTTCGACGACGCCACACCCTCCTAGTCAATTCATGGATGGATGGCTGTACTATGTGATCAGCCGTTCCGTTAGTTTGATAAAATAGCTTTATTCATTAATATATGGAACAAAGCGACTGATTATGTGCCCCAAGACTTAAATAGAGGGCCTAATACTAAGAAATTGGAGAGAGGAACTTATTTTATTTACTTAAAAACAGGTGAAATAACGATTGTGATAATTTATAATTTCAAACAAATTAATTTATTAGAATTTCACTCATTGTTGTAATAAACTCGAAATTGATACCCCGACCATCTCCGGATAGAGGTGTGACTTCTCTTTGGATATAACCGGCTTCTTGAGATTTTTCAATTCTTGAATATAACGGAACATAAATATACCCATATAGCCATACAGTACTGTTATTATTGTAGCCCAAGTCCGATTTCTGGAGCAACCAAAAGCTTGTTAAACAATATGCAGTTGTTACGGTACATAGTTTCTTGATGGCTTACTGGTTAATTGGTTTTCTAACAACTCTTGCATAGCGAGATATTTTAAAAGGCTATTAAATATGCATACTAAGATTCTTTACGTTCATATAACGGAACATGCATCGATATTTAAGTTACCGAGAGAGACATTCCATATTTCATTCAAATCTTAAATTACCAATTTGTTATTCTTAAAGTCGTCGTTCGTTTGCAGTATTTCATTTCCTTGAAAAAGGAAAAACTCATACTCTTTGCAGTGTTTTGTTTAATTAGAGCTAATCCCACTTATCACTGCTGTAAAGGAAGCAAATTTATGTTCCAAATTATAACTGACCAATAATAGCTAACTTCGTAACAATATCATTACGCTTTTAAACAGAGCTCCAAATTGGACCGAATATGTTCACATAACGTCAAGTCATAACTCGGATATTTTTATGCTCAATTAACCAGTGCAGACAAACTAATTGTGTCACAAACGAGGCTAACAACACGGATGCAATGTACACTAAACTGTGTGGAGACGAACAATACTTACAGTTTTTAATACCTTAAATCACTGTCCAAAGTTTTAGGGAACACAACAGATTAAACGAAGGGCTGTTATATTGCTGTACTTGCGATAGGTTTGATTGAACGACACCGATAGACACACTCCCTCAAAAGGTCAAGTATCAGAGAGGGATTTCTCGGGCCATTGCTTCAGGAATATGTGAAAAACTAAATATTCTGATTTCCGGCTTATAAAAGGAATACCAGTACAAAACTGGTTTAATTCCGTTCAGTATATATTAAACATGCATTATGCAAGAGCAAAATCTGCTTATTACAAGTATTTCTTTAGGCCTGAAATGTTATCTAAATTATCAATTAGACATTAATTAACTTATCCAGACCATAATCAACTCTAGATGGCCTCGCTAGCTCGCGATCTTAAGTGGATTGTGAGCCGATTTACTGCATAACTTTCCTTCTCTATTAAACGATTAAATAGATAATTGAGACTATGCTGTTTATCGTACTGACTTTAGTAATGATGACCGAGGCTAGGCAGAAATTTCATTCGCTTAGTTTTCGGTTCATAGTGGATCAATTTGAATGAAATTGTCAGCAAATTGCCTTTACGTTATCTAGTTTTTAACTATTATAGTGAGAACTGCCAACTCGTTATCGAATCTCCCATAATGTATCTTTAAAGATATAGCTGAATTTCATCGTGGGGGTTTAGAAGGTGTACAAAGTCTTAGAATAACAATTAAAAAAACCAACCTTGATTGATTTTACCCAATACTAACCAATTATGAATATTTAATTGAAATAACTAACATTTAGAACACTAAACTCTGTACATTTGATCAATCTAAGCTAACATTTAGAACTAAACTCGATCTTGATCTAGTAAATTTAATTGAAATAAACTAACATTTAGACAAAAACTATGTACATTTGATAAAAATAAACAGACATCCTCCCACAGTCTTATATAACAACTTTTGGTCTTCGAAGCAATTATTTTTCCCTCATAGCACACTGTATGGCGTATGCCCGTCTTCATTAGCCCAGTTCGGAGCAAAACAGTAGGACGTTAAACCCCATTTCATTCCATTTCGAATGAATTATTATAAATTAGTGAGCAAAAATTCGCCCGTTTATCTGTTATCACTCGTCATTTGTATGGCATTCGTCACTCCCCGTTCTTGAAATCTTCATAAAGCATCTATTGTAGCAATGATCTCTGTGTTAAAATTATATTGTGAATGTGTTTAACCAGTTCTGTCACATATGTGATAATTACTGACACAGATATTGTCTTTTAATCTGCATCCAGAAATCCAAATCCGGCATGAATATTAAATATATTTTTAAAATGTGGGTAGGCCCCACTATTTCAAAGACAGCGAGTGTACCATTTCCATTTTGCTCTTATATTCATGATAGGTTCATGTGGGTCTAGTATGATAACCTTTTCATAAATGTTATGCAGGTAACTTTATTAAAAATGGTCACCTGACTTTCAACAGTTCTTCTTTTGTAATTACAAATTTTTATATCCAGGTCAGTTAAGGAAAGCGAAGTTTTCCCTGGCAGCATTTTTGAATGATTATAATCTTGCTGTTAGAATTTTCTCATAAAATGAAATAAAATAAAAGTACGAACAAATCAAACCATTAGACAAAAATCGAAATCCTTAAAAAGAGAGAAATGGGGTTTAACGTCCACTCGACACAAACTAGGTCATTTCGGGACTAACACATGGTTTAATTTTATTTCAATAATTCGCTTGCGCGTAGGGCTGTTTAGCAGTGGGAGGACAAGGAGAAAACCCACGAGGTTGGACAGGCGACCCTACTCCTTGTCACGTACAACCGGGGATAGTCCTAAAAACAATATAGACAGAATAGTGTAATCAGTAAATGGTGTAATCACCGTACAAATAATAGCCGAAAGAGACATGTCCAATATGACGACCATAAAACGTTAAGTTTAGTGAGCAAGTATCCTTGTAGTTGAAGCTTAGATGCCAAATGCCTCGATCTACTTAAAAAAAATCAGAATAAAAGGAACCAGCTGTCGCGTAACGAACTAGCTGAGACACATACACTCCACCCGTAAGCTGGACATATTTGAAAATCATTCAGTTTGTTATTGAAGTATGTTTCTAATTTGTTTTGTATTTGATTTAGGAAGCCCAAAAAGGTCAGATGTCCAGAATTGAAACGATGCAAGCCAGATAGTTATGGACCTAAAGACCTAGATAATGTAATTCTGAACCACCACACTTTGATATTTCTCAAATAACAGACCCAGATACATTTGAACCACCATGCCCTGGTTTTATGGCACGTCAGCTCCAACCGGGCTATATTGCGCCAGACATATGGTGAAAAGTATGAGACAAACTAAATATCTTATGGAATTTATGTACACAAATAAAAGCAAATATCACAGTGTATTAAATAATTAAAAATAAAAATCACAACTTCATGTACACAAGTATTTAAAAATGAAAAACAATATGATATATATTTACAATTAAAATTGTTTATAAAAATTTGTCTCTTTTAAAAAATCTAGTAGTTTCGAATATAGACCCGTTTGGGCAAATAAATGATTTAATGATTGGCAACGATAATAATTTGTTCTGATGTCTCTAAGAAACTTGCACTAAATCAGAATGTGCTTAACTGTCAAAGGAACTTTACAGTGATGACATTCTGGTTGAGGCTCTCGCTTTAAGATAAAAATATGTGTTTAAAAAAAGTATGACCTATACGAGAGCGACACAAAACAACTTCATCTCTCCTGTTGGTTATGTAGGAGTTTGACCAATCCCCTAAGAGAGGATTAATGTGATGAAGTTTGTTAGTACCTGCAAGATCCCACGACCGTTGCCAATTACCATAAATGAAATAATTTATTGAAGATTTAAAATCTTGATATGGTATTAATGTGATGAAGTTTGTTAGTACCTGCAAGATCCCACGACCTTTGCCAACTACCATAAATGAAATGATTTATTGAAGATTTAAAATCTTGATATGGTATTAAAAAGGTTGCTTGGGGAAGATCTAAAGCAGCTTTGGCAGCAAAATCTGCTTGATCATTCCCCCTTATATCAACGTGACTGTGGAGCCAGCAAAAGACAGTGTCCTTGATGATCAACTCGTAAGATAGTAGCAGACAATAAACATCTGCTACTAATGGGTGTTCAAGCTGTTAATTGCTAGAAAGCGAGGACAGAGAATCAGTAAAGATGATGTGCTGTAGTAGATGTGATGACTGAATAAGCTCCAAAGCCTGAAGAATGGCCTGGAGCTCAGCTGTAAATATTGAAGCAGCAGGTGGACGACACACAGAAATGGCACTTCTGAACCAACCTATTCGTTTACTTGAAAACAAAAAGCACAAATTAATGTTGAACCGACAGACCAAGATTTATCTGAACCAGTGGACCAAGATACTTTTAAGCCAAACCACCAAGGTGCCTCTGGGCTGACCCTGAACTACTAAACAAAGCTGCTCCTGAGCCACCAAAACCAGCTACCTCTAAACTGCGAAACCCAGAGGCATCTAAACCACCCAGATGCATTTGAACCAACAGACCCATCTGAACCACCAGACACGGATGCTTCTCAGCTACTAGGCGCAGATACGCGTGAACCATCATACCATGTTACTTCTGCCCATGCAAACTCAGGTACACGTACATCTCAACGGCCAGAACAAGTTACTTTTAAACTGACAGATCACGCTGCATCTAACCAAACAACAAAGCTGCTTCTGAACCACGAAACCCAGGAGCTTCTGAACCACCAAACGCAGGTACAACTGAACTGCAAAACACATGATCTTCTGAACCACCAAACTCATATCCTTCTCAACTACCATTACCAGATACACGTGGACCACCAAATTCAGACACAGCTGAATCGCCAAATCCAGGTACTTCTGAACCAACTGGAACAATTTAATTTTGAACTGACAGGTCAAGATTTTTTAAAACAAAACCACCGAGGTGTTTCTGAACCAAACAACCGAGGTGCTTCTGAACCACCAAACCCACATGCCTGTAAACCATCAAACCCAGATCCTTCTCTACTACCAGACCCAGATATGCGTGAACCACGAATTCCCCACACAACTGAATCAATAAACCCTGTTACTTCTGCTCATGCAAATTTAGGTACTTCTGAACGAACAAACCCATGTACTTATAAACTACCAGAACAAGACACTTCTAAACAAGCAGAACAGGTTATTTTAAAACTAACAGACCCAGATTTGTCTAAACCATCAGGCCAATATGCTTCTGAACCAAACACCAATTTGCTTCTGGTCCACCAAAACCCAAATACCTTTGAACCACAAAGTAACTTGGCTCCAAGAAGAACCCCAGATCTGTTTTCAGCTTCCAAACCTGGCTGTATATAAACAAGGCAGTTGTTCTCTTACTTTTAGAGCAAAAGTACATCGTAGTTGACTTATTTCGTCTAATCTTTAATCTATATATGCTTGTAACCATATATCCAGTGTTCAACATGAAATGAACTGTTGCATTGTTATTTCTGTGTATAACCATAATCGGAGTAGGATGCAAATTCACAACAAGGAATGTCAGAGTTACATTTAAAGAAACGTCTTAACCAGTAGAAAATTACAAACATAACCAGAGGCAACACTAGACGATCACATGAATAATAAAATATGTAGCAGAGGAGAGTATGCGTTGCACGTTGGTTTTTGATGTGTTTTGGTCGCTAGTACTTTCCACATCTAACCAGCGACACATAGCATTGCATATCACTATGTTTGATTTGGTTGCCGAACTGTCTAGTGCTGCATAACGCCCTATTGTTCTGTTCCGACTGCGCTGATAGAGAAAGAGAGGAGTACAGTCGCTGTTATTGTTATTTATTAAAATATTATCGTCCATTACATAGATATGATATTATAGACAGGTGGATTTAATTATGATTATTTACAAATGAAGGACGATTGCTGCCTCTGAAGTCCGAATGCATATACTTCCCTTTCACCAAACCTAAGATGGACCTCCACAAGACGTCCATTGTCTGTGTATATACATATATAGTTTGAAACATCAAATGCTGTTATGAATTAACAGTGAAGACTTTACTGTCTTGACCCACGGCATATTTTTAGTCTTTTCTTTGTTGCAAATCATACAGACAATGATGGAACCAAGAAGCACGTTGCCACCAATTAGACATCCTGTTACAGCCCAGAACTGTTCTTTCGACACCATTTTCTCTGAAAATAAAACACACAAAATAACAAACCATGTATTAAATCGAAATAGAGTCCAATTTCTAGCAATACTATTTTATTGTTATACCAAAAAGATAACGAATTTTTTAATGAAAATCAACTACGTATAATAAACTAAATACAAAGACGGCTCGCCATTATGGCACAATTTTTTAATACTGTAAAACATGAAATTATTGCGACATGAAATTATTGCGAGTTGGGGTGGTGAAATATATTTGCGACATGAAATTATTGCGAATTTCTATAGTGGGGGGGAAATTATTGCGACATGAAATTGCGAATTTAAATAATTTTTTTTTTAGAAAATTTGTCTATAAAATGTGGTAGATTGTTAATTTTGAGGTGACAGTCGGCTCTTCAAAACATCGGTTGATTGGTGATCATTAGTAACAGTAAATAAACAACTATTGAGGATTATGGCTTTGAGTCTGTATTCAACAGATCAAAGAAAATTAAATACCAATGCCCGAATAGAGCACGTGTTTGTGCCTGCGGGGTGCACTGGAGAACTTCAGCCTATAGATTTGAGTGTTAACGGTGATTTTAAAACAATAATGAAGGACCAGTTTACAGAGTGGTATACAGACAAAATTGCCAAGGATAATACGAAGACTGTAGACCTAAAGCTATCAACAATGGAGCCTCTTCACGCCAAGTGGACTATTCAAGCCTTTGATAAAATTAAAGAAAGAAAAGACACAGTTTTACTTGGCTGGAAAAAAGCGGGATTGTTGGACATTCTTATAAAATAAACTTGATGTATGATGATAATTGTTATTGATGGTATATACATTATAAAATATTATAAACATATATGATACTGGTATTAAAATCTTTATTTTTATTTCCTTTACGCCCCAGGTTAATATTGGTACTTATTGGGACTCTTTCTTGTGAAGAGTAATGAAGGGGGGATAATTCAATATGGCCGACATTTTAACGAATTTTCACGAAATTATTGCGAACATGAAATTATTGCGAGAGGGCCTCGTTCGCAATTTTCGCAATAATTTCATGTTTTACAGTAATACACGACACAAGGGCGAACCTTCTGAAACGGCTCCATGGTTCAGCGCGTACATGTTTATAATATCTCCAGATGGGGGTAGCCTATATTGCCTGTGACTTTGCGGCTTTATCAATTTTTATTATCTATAAAGATCATTTTTTCTGCTTTGAAGACGGACGTACGCACGCCATACTTTGTGCTATGATGACAATTTTGCCTGGACAAAATACTACGGCCTACTCCTACGTGCACGCCAACGTCTACACGGGACCTCTGTTTTCAATGTCTGGCGACGACTAAACACTGCCCGGCATCGGTCATGCACCACATCGTAAAAATACTAAGGAACTATCCCGGCCAACACTGGATGTGAACCCGAGACAACCTGGTTATGAACCAGCGTCTTACTGAGTCATTGTAGTTCCTATTATCTAAGCCAATAGCAGTTCCTTAATTCGTTGTGCTTGGTGTCAAACATGATACATATTTACCTGCAGGTTCGATGGTCTCCTTCTCGGGATCTGGTTTCATGTTCTCGTTGGACATATTATAGTCGAAATCGCCACATCTAGGAAAGCCCTTGGGTGCTTTTGGATGGTGTGGGAAAGACTCGTTTAAAACAAGGGCCATTCCATCACTTGCGTGCAGATCTATATGACAATGCACAAACCACGTCCCAGGATTATCCGCCTTAATTCTTACAACAACGTAGCCCCCACTTGGAACGATTATTGTGTCTTTTCGTGGCGGATTTGTCAGTTCTAAACCGGGGACACTACCACCAAACCACGTTGAATTCGTCCACGTGGCATTGTTACAGAAACTTTTAGACCTGTCTTTACCGCCACGACAATCAATATCTAAATTGTCCTCTATTATTTTCCCAGTTGTTTCATTGTATGATCCATATTCCATCTTGACGACGTAGAACGAGTGGCCATGCATGTGAATTGGATGAGCCCAACCCTTTCCGTTACCCATGTTAAGAAATACTATCTGATAAACCTTGTTGTGATCCAGATCCATTGTGCCGAAACAATGACAATTCGTTTGCTCCGTACATTCTTCACCACAACGATACTTCCCTAATTCTTGAGGTTGGGTCATGGCTGAAACTGGTGGATATACAAATGATCGGCCATTGGCTGAGCTTGGATACCAGCTACTTCCCGGAAAAGCAAAGTTTATGAAACGTTCTTCCAGTTGTCCTTTTGGTGCAGGGTCGTTATCAGGAAGGGCTTTAAACTCATCAAATCGAATGCAAACGGTACTGGCTTCTATAGGATAATAAGAAAATGGACAATTTGCTACAACACATTTATCATCTTGCGTGCACGCCTTTTTGCTTGAATCAGGTTCCATGTTGGCAGCTGTATCATATCTAAGAATGGCCTCCGCTGTGTGATTGACGTTCACCTCAAGAGTGATGGCGCGAACCCAATAGTTTCCCACTGGCTTGTCTGTCGTAATGATAAAGTCGTATCGCTCACCAGGATTTATCACTAGTGATTCAACTGTTTTTGGTTTCAAATCATAACCATCTGAAGCAATGATGGTGAGATTATGTTCATCAATGGATATACGAAACGGGTAGAGAGCACCTGCTGCAATCCATCGAAATCGGTATTGTTCTCCAGCAGTAACATTAAATATATGTAAAGGAGCCCCGTTATGTTTATTGCCATCATATAATCTGCCTTTGCCATTAATTAAACCCGATTGAAATCGAAACAAACTGAAATGTCCACCATCCAGTGAGTCGGTGCTAATCAGTTTCACACGATGATCGTACATTCCGTAAAGCATCTGTTGATGAACCTCCGCTGAATCCCAATGGTTCCAGTCTGTAATAACGGCAATCAATTCTTTCATTACCATTGGCTTTTTCTCACGAATGATCAACGCTCCATATAAACCCATGGTTCGCTGTGAGCCCACATGTGAATGATACCAAAAGGTACCTTTAGGTTTAGCTTTGAATCTGTAGGTGAAGCTCCCACCGGGGTGAATGGGGCATTGGCTAACAAAAGCTACGCCGTCCATCCAAGGGGTACCCGTCTGATGGAGTCCGTGCCAATGAATAGTAACAGATTCGCTGGTTAATGAGTTTTTCACATGTACAACAACAGTTTGACCTTCGTAGACTTCTATAGGTGGGCCAGGTAAACTATTATTAGCTACTGTAACTAAACGGTATCCTTCCCAGCCATCAGCGGTTATAACGTCTGATAAGTCCACTGGCGTAGCGGCGGAAGTGTTGACGGTATCATAACTGTAGAGTTGACCATTTTCGGGGAAAACAGCAATACGACCCTTTACCATTGTCAGTCTGTGCTCAATGTGCAACCAAAATTCACACGTTTCTGCATTCTGGTGACACGTGTGTGCTGTTGCTAATGACACAATTAGCACCGGAAGTATAAGCTGTAGAATTGTTCTAGTCATCCTTAAATGATAAAATAAAACAAACATTTATAAACAGAACAGAAAACACAATACAGACTGATAAGAAAAAAAACCCTTACGTCTCTAAAGAGAACACCCCACCCACAATTTTTGTCCCATTATGATACGAAACAAATACAATGTCTACTCTCCCATAAATAACAACCATTTAAAAAATTTAAATTGTAAATAATTTCACATTTGAATGTTTGTATGTTCTGTATATTGTTCTGTATTGTATCTGATGGGCAGTTAGCCCACGGAATAAAGAACTGAACTGAAACACGTACAACAAATGGTGCCTGGGGCTCATAATAAAAAAAAGGTGTTAACATTCGTTCTTGAATACCAATGAAGACAGGCAGCCATGCGCAATGCAGTGTACTATGAGCGACATTTGGTCCGGTCAGCTGTCCTGACATACTTTAATTTCAAAGTCCAACTGTAAAGGGTTCCTTAAAGTGCAATCAAACATTGTTCGTTCCATCCGGACGATTACGCGTTGTACCTTCAATAACCCGTTGAATTAGACTGTTAAAGGGTCTATTTTAAATCCGATTGAATCACAATCGGGAGATTATTTATCATTGATATTGCGATGTCTTAAATAAATTTGTGTATACTGTAAATTGGATTAAACCATGGAAAATTTAATATTTTCCGACAAATTTCATGTCTTGATAAATATACAATAAAATACGATGTTTTATTCAGCGATCATGTGACAGGAAGGCAGCGACGACCCTAGAGAACTAGTACTTTCATACTGTGTGACAAAGTGATCTATACCTTAAGTTGACGTTTAAACTCTCTATAAACTTTTGTTAAGGCACGATCTTATTAAACATCTAATTTATTCAATATGTTCTTTACAAGCTACACGTGAAATTGTAATGGACAAATTTAGAGCTTTAAAGTAATGATATTGTATTGTATTTAATGCATGTTAGATAACAACGTTAATTAAGAAGATGGTGTCGGCTGAGATCGAGGACGAAAATACGCTCCATGGAACAGATGATTCCACACCAGCACTAAGAAATAACCAAGTGACATTAACTTTGTCATGAGTTAGTCCAGAAGAATGCCAGAATTTAATGGTATAACGAGAAGCGTAGACCGCATAAATGTTATCGTCCTACAAAAAGTCTAGGACTAATGTTGTTCCTGAAGTATAGTATAAAGTATTATATCATGAGTATCATTATATCCTGTTTTTTTGTATCATAGCGTGTGTGCTCTTCTTATATCGTCTGTGATGAAGCTTTATTGTGTGTACTATTATGTAATACAGATGAAGCCAGTGTCCCACCTGTGGGAATTGTGTTCGTTATTTATTTTTAATAAATAACCTGTGGGTGGGAAAGGAATGTTACAAAGTGATCTATACCTGAAGTTGACGTCTATAAATTTTTGTTAAGGCACGATCTTATTAAACATCTAATTTATTCAATGTGTTCTTTACACGTGATCCGTGTATAATTCGACAGAACTTCAAAGAGAATGTATTAGTGGTCAGTGCATCATACCTTGACCTGACAATGACTTCCAAAGAAATACGCAGTGTAATTACAGACTTCATAATTTGATAAATAAACAATACCATATATGGTGATCACTCCTGTCCATCTTCCCTAATTGTTAGACGCTATATAAGCAGGCGTTTACTGACAGCAAGTCAGACTTGGAATAGAGCTCCTCCCGATTTATGTCTATTTCATGTTCTCAATAAAGGTCTTATCAATTATACTGATCTTCTGTTATCTGTAAGATAGTGTTACAACTGTAGTGATGGCTTCAACCCCACCACCATATAATGAAGAAAGGCAGCTACAGTATCTGGGCACAGACATGCGATATATTAAATTTACCCCTGCCAGTCGGCAACAATATTACAATATTGCTAATCGGTCTTATCACAGGTAACTGATTCATTTATACCTACATCACGACATATAATTGTTATTTTACTTTATGCCAATGATAGATGTTTAATTAGACTTAGATGACAAACGTGATGTAATATAATGTATATTACGTATCCGACTATTGTGAGATTATGATTGTTTTAGTGCCTTCACCCTGACTTTATTGTACGCTATTTAGGTCCTAAGATGAATATTGACATGAAATTTATAACAGCAATAATGGTAGAAGAATTTATGGAGTTGAAAGGGATAGTCGTAGCATTGGATGCCTATCGAAAACAATCGTTCACCTTAAACGCACGAATTGGTAAGTCCTTGGCCGATTAATGAATTCTGAAAAGGGGAGATTCTTTAAAGAGTTGACATTTCGCTCTATAATAATTAAAAAAAGAGATAACGTTAGTAGAATATGCTGAAAATTTAAGTAAAATTGCTCCAGCCTGAACCGATATATTAGCTGTGGAAATTTAGGCCTAGTCTAAATCATACGTATACTAAAGACGTACGATAAAAACATAGTGTTGATTATCGGTTATCCATTTTTGTATTTAATATTTTTTTTAAAAAAAACAACAAAAAGGGAATTCCGATCCGCTAAATATCGTATGCTAGCAATACCATCGCGATTTGATTATGGTCGGGATAAGTTAATGTCTAATTAATAATTTAGATAACATGTCAGGCCTAAAGAAAGACCTGCAATAGACAGATTTAGCTCTTGCATAATGTATGTTTAAATGACCTATAAACCCAATTCACATTTAGATCTGACTGCTCCATGTGGTTTACATGTTTTGCTAATTACACGCATAAATTAAAATCAAATGTGGTTTAACACCCTACGTTAATTACCTGTTTAATGATGGGGTTGAACTTTACTGTCAATGGATAGTAAAACATGTTTTACTTTTCTAGGAATGTTTATTCTGGACATACATGTTGCCACAAAGGAGTTGGGGCATATGCAACAGAATGCAAAAATGGCATGTCCGCGGTGGAATACGGAAGGTATGTAAGTTTTAAAAGATATAGCCTAGACATAGCACACTGTATGGCGTATGCCCGTCTTCATTAGCCCAGGGAAGGTGGTCGTAAAAAATGCACTAAATCGAAGTGTGTGTTTTTTCGGGGTTGCCTTGCTTATCAAGACCAGTACCATACGCTAGAGACGGAGATATCTTGAGGCTGCTGACCACATTTGGAGCTGACCGTTAAATATATGCGATAAGACTTGGGTGGAAGCGGACGTTAAATAACGCTATTTCACACAAAAACGCACATAAAATTTCACTCGTTTTCAAGCCAAAACATAATATTCAAATGAGAGAGAGAGAAATGGGGTTTAACGTCCACTCGACACAAACTAGGTCATTTCGGGACTAACATATGGTTTAATTTTATTTCAATAATTCGCTTGCGCGTAGGGGTCTTTAGCAGTGGGAGGAAACCAGAGGACCAGGAGAAAACCCACGAGGTTGGACAGGCGACCCGTCTCCTCGTCACGTACAACCGGGGATTAGAAACCACGCCAGTTGACTCAATGACAGACTTTATGATACAGCGTGCACACGCTAACCATTCAGCAACCCACCCACCCTATTCAAATGAGAGAAATATATGTACAACACAAAGCCGAGTATCTCCTTGGAAACTGATCCAATTCATAGACAGTGGTTTTATGTGGCTCTTGCTTTGGTCATACGTTTCTTTTTTTATTATTTTGTTATTTTTATTATTTTGTTATTTTGAAGTCCATTCCTCGACCCCAATGTTGAACAATGTCAATAAATCACATTTTGATTGAGTGGAAGATTTTAAAAGTCACAGATTTTTATTAACAATTTTAACAGAATGTGGTATAGGATTTAAATGGTTCATTTACATTATCAATACATACAATTTGCTCTTATTTTTATTAAATTATCATAGCTAGATATGTGTTTGTCCTGTTTTATTTATAAATCCGTTGATTTAACAGGGATTTAATGTACTCAGATATTTCGGATTGTGAGATACAAATGATCAACGCTTTTCAATTTCGAGTGACGCCAGTGAATGTTCCAACAATGCCGTGTCCATAAATACATTACGCAGAAATCAGTGGGCTGTGAACGTTTTTAAGAGTTGGTCAGTGTGGCGGATTAACAAACACGATAGTGAGCGAAAAATCTTGTGTGCGCTGGAAGATACGAGTATATTATCTGCATAAATTCTGCACTTGGATTAGCTTTAAATAATTCTTTGTCAAAATATACGTTATCTTTTTCTACAAACTGACTTGCGCGGATGAGTTCGTCGTCCGAATCGTTTGACAACATTGAACAAAATGAATGCCAGTTTTTGAACAAGTGGTTACTAAAATGCAATGCACGTGCAACTTACGACTTGTTTTCTTAATTTTGTCGTATCAGTTGCAGGGCTGATATGGGCTAAACCATTGTCTTATAGGTGAAATCAATTAGGATAGATGTAACATTGTTGTCGGTGTGTAAGACAAATATTACCTTAATACCCTCGGTCGATATGTGAAATAACCCACCGTCTCCGATTAGGGTCATATTATTATAATATCATTTGATGTGCACATATAATTATATCACCTGATATAATTATATCACCTGTGTGCATATATAACCATAACATATAATTGTGTCTAACCCAGAGCGCTGTGCTTTGTAAACCATCTAGAAAAGGCATTAGTCGGGCTAGTATTATTTATTTTGAACAGATATGCTTTACAACACATGACCTGTTATGACCTCGTTATTAAAGTTATTCTGATCTACATTGATTCATAAATATAATCTAAATAGACCACAAACAGTCGTAAAAATTATCTACAGGTGGGCAAGCTAAAGGACCCCACAAAGTGTTGACCTTGAATGTTACTTGGGCTTTTGCCGGTGTGGCGTCTTCTTGCCGGTGACGCAGTACGCAGGGCCTGGCAAGGAACAGTGACTAGTCGTTCAGGTTGGACAAAACAGACGAGGTTCCGTGACAAAATTTGAAATGAAATGAAATGAAATG